ATTACAAACCTTCTCACACTTAGCTGCCCTTTGTAGTGGCAAGATTGCTGGAACAGCTCAGTGTCTAGTCTTTCAGGTTCAAGTGCAGGAAGAAGAGAAAGACTCTCTTTTCAAAAGGTTTCAGATGTCTGGCCCCGGCTCCTATTGTGCACTGAGGATGCACATCTGTTTCTAAATCAGTCATGTTGCCAGTGGATGGAATGTACACTGACTCATGCCACATTGCAGGCATAGCCCTGGAGTTGAAGTAGAGGAAGATTGTTCCCTAGAGGAAATTTGGAGTGCTGCTACCCAGCAAAGAATGGATGCTGCATAGTTAAAAAACAACAGATGTTCATGACAGTGACAAAAATTAGCACACCCAACTGTTGGGGAAAGAGAGAAGGTAATTGTTGAGAAAAAGGGAAGAAACAAAAGGAGTTGATGTGAACAATGGAGAATTCTTCCCAGGTTAAGCACACACACATGCACACACGCATGCGCTTGAAAACCGTTATCTTAGAAAGAAATCAAACACATAAATTTTGGCATCTTTGCCTCCCTCTGAATGTGTGTGTGACATACACAGAGACATAGTTAAGGTGGAAAAACTTTCTATAAGGAAACTGCCAGCTCGATGGCTTTACCACAGATATCTAAGGAATAAATAATTCTGACCTAACCCAATTCTTCCAGAGAACAAAGAAGTTTGTTTATGAAACTTGCATAACTTTGACACAAAAATCTTCCCAGGGACATTATAAAATAGGAAGATTAACAAGTTCATCTTTTCCATCAACACATGCAAAAATCCTAAACAAAAGAGTAGCCAATTGAATCCAGTGATATATGAGGAGTATGACAAGTGACTAAGTTGCATTGATTTTGGAATGCAAGGTTGGTCTAACTTAATTTGAATTAATAATGTAATTTTTCACATTTAAGGAGAAACTTATGATCACCTCAATCAGTGGAGAATTCTGTTTTAATGACAACAGCAGCAAATATTGGAATGGTGAAATATTGAATACGTTCTCTTTGAGACAGGGAACAAAAGAAGGATGCCCATTATCACCACTTCTATTCAGTATCCTGCAAACCTAGACAGTGCAATGTGAAAGGAGGGGCAGGGGAGAAGGAAGAAAGAAGGGAAGGGGCGGAAGAAAGAAAAAGAAAAAGAAAGGAAAGCAGTAGGATTGAAGAAGCCCTGCTTCATACAGTTAAGTCTGGATTTCTGTTGGTAGGACCCTGCATCACCCTGTTTTGAACCCTCCAGGTGATCCTAATCTGCAGCCAAATTTAAGAGCTTAAATTTAAGTGTCTTTACCACTTTTTTTGTAACTACATAAGAAAGTGTCCTGATGATGTCATAATAGCTTTATTTTTTATTGGAAGAAAATGCTATTCATATCTAAATAAGCTTTTCCAAAGCAATTGTTTGCTTATTTGAATTGGCACCAACTTGAGGTGGACATTCTTCTATGATCTACTCTGATACTAACCACTCCGTGAATGGATATAAATACATAATGTATACCACATAATAGATACTCAGAGCTGAACGGCTGGTCTGATATCAATGTAATTCCATATTAGTGTTTCATAAAATGTAATCTTTCTTTTAACATTATTTTTATTACAAATTTAGACAGAACAAGATAACTATATTTGACTCAGAAGCCCTATTTGTAAAATTATTGGGCTAAATTGTAATTTTTTCCTAAGAATACATTTACTAAAATTTTTCTCATTTTGAAGTGGAAATTACTATGGCCTTTTGATAACAATATAATTTTGTGTTTTTACCACTATTTAATGGTATTGAAATAATTATTATTTTTAAAAACAGTACAGAATGGAATGGAAGAAATAAAAGTATTGCTGTTTGCTGATAAACTGCTTATATACATAGAACTTTAAATTTACAGACAGATTATTAGAACTAGTAAGTGAATTAGTGAATTACCTAGATACAAAATACAATTATCTTTCTGTATGCCAGCAATGGTCAGAAAATATGAAGTTTTGAAAAATTTTATTTGTGCCAACACAAAAATATCAACACCAAAGGTGAATCTAACAAAAAATATGTAAGATGTCTATATACCAAAAACTGAAACATTTAGAGAAGTTAAAAAAGAAATCAGTGGGAAGATATAGTCCATGTTCATGGACTGGAAGATTCAGTATTACAAACACTTTTCCCCAAATAGACCCACAGATTGTGATCCCAGTTAAAATTCTAACCGTTTTTTAATGAGTATTATATGTTGTTTGTGAAAATGCAAATATCCGGGAAAAAACCAATACAGTCTCTCGGGGAAGGATAGTATTCTGCTGAATATTGTGGCTCATTATATAAATCTATTATCCTGGAGATTGTTGATACTGAAACAAGGATCGATAAATTGAACAGTAGGACCAGAAGTGGACCCACATCTCTGACACTTGGTTAACAAGAAGGGTCTGACTGCTGAGCAGTGATGACTGGCTGGTCTTCTCAACAAAAAGAATTGGGAAAATAGGCTGCCCACACAGGGAGATGGGTGTTGCTTCTAACCTCATACCATATTCGCAAAACTCAGTAGCAAGAGACTTGTGAATCACAGTGTAAAAGTCTTAGAAGTAATAGGAGAGAATATCATTATGGCCTCCTTGGAAAATAAGCATGTTAATGCTCAGTCAAAAATGCTAATAGAAAAACTGACTAAAAATGGGTTAAATTTGACTATACTAAAACAAGTTGTTCATCACTAATCTTGCAAGCACGTGGGTAAGTTACAAAGTGAGAGAAGAGAGCTGGACACATACATTCAACAAACAGTTCTTATCCAGTATACACGAAGAACTTCAAGTCAAGAAGTAAAGGGTGAAAACTCAGTAGAAAACAGACAAGAGACTCAGACCGGTGAGTCCTACAGAAGATACCCAGATCGCCCATGAGCAGGAGAAGATGCTCAATCGAGTTAGTTATCAGAGAAATGCAAATCAAAACCACAATGAGCTGTTACCTCACACCTGTTATGATGCCTCTCACAACAAAACAAAAAACAGCAAGCATTGACAAGGATATGGAGAAAAGGGAACCCTTGTGCGCTGTTGGTGGGAATATAAATTAGGACAGCCATCATGGAAAACAGTGTTGAGGTTCCTCAGAATATTAAAAGAGAACTACCATGTACTCCAGCAGTCCCACTGCCGGGTGTGAACTGAGAAGAACTGAAAACAGGGACCGGAAGAGGTGTCTACTCCCACGCTCACTGAGGCATCATTCACGGTAGCGGAAGCAACCTCAGTATCCATCAGCAGATGAATGGTTAAGAAAATGTGTTGTATATCTGCACGATGGAATACTAATCAACCAGAAAAAAAAAGAGGAAACTCTGCCATTGTCATCAGCGTGGAAGAGCCTAGAGGACACTGTCCTGAGTGAGCCAGGTGCAGAAAGACTCCTACTGCACAATTCCTCTTCAACTCAGTCTCTCGTCAAACTCCCAGAAGCACAGCATGGGGTAGAGGTTGAGGAACCAGGCCTAGAGTCGCTGTTCAACACAGTGCCTATAATTAGAAATGCTGTATTGTACATTTAAATATTTGTTAAAAGGGAAACTCATGGTGTGCTCCTACCACAGTTTAAAAAAATAACAAACCACGATGAGATGCTGTCTTCCACCCCAGGATGACCTGGGGAAGGAGGGAAGCCCTAGGAATGTTCAAGGACTGCCAGAGGGAGAGGAAATCGGCTCCTACTTTGGAAAGCAGTTCAGCATTTGTATAGAAGGCTCTTGATGCTCTGACCAGCAGCTCCCCCAGGGTATTCACCTGGCAGAACGCAGGCCCACACACTTGTGTCACTCATCGCCCCAGCCAGTGGCAGCAGAATAGGTGCATCATACATGATACAGCCGCAAAGACACACAACAACACGGGTGTATCTCAAACACTGGTGAGAGAGAGGCCTCCCCCAAGAATAGAATACTATTCCATCAATGGAACATGCAAGACTAAGCAGTGGCAGTTCGAGAGACCCAGGGGAAAGCAGGAAAGAAAGCAACAGGGGCATGCATGTAAAATGATTCTATCTATGTTGGGCTGGTTGGAGGGTGGGACAGACGACCTATCTGGGGGTGTGGGAGAAGCATCAGGGCCTTGGTCATCTTCCTATTCCCATCTTTTTTTTCTTTTTTACAGTTTTCATTTTTGCTTTGTACATTTTGTTCGTGTTTTTTAAAAAAGACAAAGGGCTTGTTTGTTTTCTTCAAGTGAGGAAAGATGGGCTCAAAGGCCAGGTATGTTTGGGAAACACTGCATCCTGTATCCCTCTCTCAGGTGTCCACAATGCCCATGAGCATGGTGCAGCCCCACCAGCTCCTGGACCAGATACTGTTGGACTTGGTTTCATGCTTGGGTTTGCATACCTCCCCTGGGATCACTGACCCACTCTGCAGGGCACTGGCATCTGCTTCTCACCACACCAAAGACCCCGGGGGCTGTGTGAAGGGAAGGTTCCAAGTTTCAGCTCACTCCTGGGCATGGAAGTGTATACAGCTCACTACTTATTAAACACCTTAGTTTTATAAGTTTATTTTAAACATTTTTGTTGAACAGGCTAGTACAAGATAGACAAGAGCCATATCTTTATGGAACTGACCTTGAGGGTGAGGATGTGGACAGATAGGAAGCAAATAACAAGCCACACCTGGTAGTCACACGCTACAGAAAACAGGTATAAACACAGAGGTGGAAATGCAGAGGTGGAAACACAGTGGCACTAGCTCAGCCACAGGGGACACTGGAAACACAGCCCTGGAAGTGAGAAGTTGACGGTGGTCAGGAGACAACAGGCAGTGTCCAGCCCTAGCCATGGGCAGGCAGGAGCCTGGTGTGTTGGAGACAGAGGAAATCAGAATGCTGGGGTTGCAGCCACACTGTGTATGTAGGTCATCTTTGTAGCCAGGAAAGGGCTAGGCAAATAGGACCAGAGGAGGCTGGTCTAGACGCATTTTTCCCATTTCTTCCAGATTCAGCACCCTATAAAGACCCGCTGTCCTCAAAAGAACAAGCTGGCTTCCTAGTTGGTCAGCAGCTCCTGAGCCAGGCGGGCATCGGCAACCCTCCCAGCGGGGTACCCACCCCTCTGGCACCTTCTCCCCCTCCTGTGACTGCTCTGCCCCAAGATGCAGCAGCACCAGCCACCAGCACCATGCCAGAGCCAGTGTCAGGGACTGCCATCCAGGCAGGGGGCCCAGGGACTCCTCAGGGGTTAAATGAGCCAGAGACATCCCAGACCCTAGCGGAGACTCACGACACTCCGCCAGCTGCCCAACCCCTGATGGTGGGTCTGGGACCTGGAGCCCCAGCTCCAGAGGCTATCACAACCAGGGAGACCAGTGCCCCCATGGAGGCCCTGCTGGCCCCCGTGCCTGAGCCCAGCCCCCACAGTGGGACTGCACAGCCCACCATGGGCCCACCCGGTCCCCCACTCCCCGCTGCTGTGGGGGCTGTCAGCCTGGCCGCCTCCCAGCTCCCAAGCCCACCCTTGGGGCCCACCGCACCTCCGCAGCCGCCCTCAGCCCTGGAATCAGATGGGGAAGGGCCACCCAGGGTGGGCTTTGTGGATAGCACAATTAAGAGCCTGGACGAGAAGCTGCGAACTCTACTCTACCAGGAGCACGTGCCCACCTCTTCAGCCTCAGCTGGTACCCCCGTGGAGGGGGGCGACAGAGACTTCACCCTAGAACCCCTGAGAGGGGAACGGCCTCGCTCAGAGGCCTGCCTGGGGGATCTGATCCTGCCTCCAGCACCTAGTGACGCGGCCCCGGGGCGTGCGAGGCTATCCCAGCCCTCGGTGAGTAGTGGCCTCATCCCAGAGGCACTGTCCTGGGGTAGGGACAGGGACCAGCCCGGGGGTGGGCAGGCATTCTGGCTATGCAGAGCCGCCCTTGCCCAGGCCCAGCCATTCTCAGTGACCCACCCGCACATGCCTGACTTACCCACGCTCGTTCCGCAACAAATGGCCCCTGTTTGGGATCTTGTGTGTACAGCATCAGGTGACACAGCCAGATCCACGTGCACAAAGGAGCCAGGGTGGCTCCAAGACAGCTCCTGACACTGGGAGGGAATGTGGTTTGCAGATGTTTCTGCTCAGATGTTGACCTGCAAGTCTTACAACTCTTTCTGTGTTTTTCTTCCAGTTGGAAAAGTCAGAACTGGTCCCTGTTCTAAGGGGCATGATGGAGCTGCGCATGTCTTCACTAAGGACAGGTAACTCAGCAAAAGATCACCCATCCCTGAGCCTGTGAGGTGTTGCCAGCCTTCTGTGCTCCTGCCACCTCCTTTATCCTTGAAGGAATAAGAGCATCCCTTAAAAGATCTTTAGCACCTAAGGTAGGGCTCAGGCACAGCAGGAGCATGTCCTGACTAGATCGAAACCCACTGAATTCTAGAACATTCCACATGATCACACTCCAGAGAGAAAATTGTCTCTGTAGACATAGATAAGCTCTGATGAGTGGGTGCTAGGATGCTGTAGGGACAGCGTCTTAGCACCGGACTTTCTGATGGCCCCCTCCCCCAGCCCCTTTGTTTCTTCAGCAAGATTACCAGATACCCACAACATACCCCTAGTTATTTGGAAGCGGAGCAGTGGGGCCGGGAAGTCCACACTCCAGGAAGCTGTGGGGCCCAGGGCAAGCCCTGGAGACCTGGCACACAGTTGCCCCTGCGCCTCCAGGATGCCGCGCTTCTCTGCAGAGACTTCTTTGGCCTCCATCTCACTGCCTGAAGGCTTTTGCCTCCTCCTGAGGAGATGGGCTGACCAGGGCTGCAGGTACAAGGCTCCTCCCCAGCCTAACATGCCTCAGGATTTGGCAAGATGAGAAGGTGATCCTCCTAACAGACACCTCCGGCTCCATCAGCACAGTCCCAGGCTGCATGTATTTCTAGTTGACATGCTTTGAGAGGGATTGGAGCAACTGGACCTGGGGTCAGAAGCTGTGCACACGAGGAACTGGTGGTGTTCAGCCTGGAGAAAATGAGGGATGGGTAGAGGCGGAGAGTTTTTGCAAATGAGTACAAACCAGAGGTCATGTTGGGAGACCTGGGCCCAGCCATACCAGGCCACCCTTGTCACCCCACCCAACTCTGACCTCATGCTGTGAGATGTGTCCCTTGGGCCCCTTTTGCAGACAAGGAGACAACTTCCATAACCTGCAAGTGATGTAACTTGCACTCCAAGTCCACAGTCTTCCCAGAGTGTAGAACTTGTTGGATAAGCTCCAAGAAGACAGGTTCTAGTTGGAAAAGGTGAACTTTTCTGGCAGGTTAGAGCTGTTATAGACACAGAGGCAGTGCAGTTGGTAGTGAGCCTCCTGTCCCTGGAGGTGTGCAGAGAGATTGGATGATCTCCTGATTAGGGATGTTAGGAGGGGAGCCAAACATTGCCAAATGGCCTTTTTGTGAGTCTGGTTTAGGGCAGTGTTCCCTTGCAAGCCCCACATGAGGTGTGCAAAGGAGATTCGTGAAGGGGGGCATGGACCCCAACCTCCCTGGAGGCTCTGAAAGCTCCTGCCTCCTCCCCCTGCACGTGGGTCCAACTTATGGCCAGGCCTACCCATAGGTTTCCTTTGCCATGTGGGGCTCTCAACTCATACCACCACACCTCTGAACCTGCTGGCTCTTTATGGCATCCCTGGGTGCACGAGGCAAAGAACACAAGCCAGCTGCAGGCACAGGGACAGTCCCTGGACACTGGGAGCAGTGTCAAGCCCTCTCTGTGGATCTGCCCTGTGAGAACCTCTGAAGTCAGAGGACAGCAGGGCGAGGCAAGGTGCCAGCCACCTGCCACACAGAGAGCCTGGCTGCAAGCATGGGCAGGAGCCAACCCCACTTCCCTTGCCTGGGTTTGTAGGGCATCCTTTGTAAAACACCGCAGGCTAGGACCTGATGAATCTTCAGTGTTCAGCCCTTCCATGAGCGCACATTGCTGGCCCCCTGAGTTGCCAGCTCCAGGCAGCCAGGGTGAGTCTGGGTCACTTGGCCATGAGCCATCCCTACCACTTCCTCTCCACCTGCCCCACCAACGTTTTCCATGTTCCTACAGCAGAGTCATCTCCTAGCAGCACACTGGGCTATGACAGAGATGGAGGGCAGGTGGTCTCGGATGCCCCTGTGGTGCCCAGCATCCCCCAGGTAACGGTCACCTCTCTGTCAAGACCCTTGTCTGGCTGGTGGTGTTTGCTCTGGGGCGTTTGAGCAGAGTCTCATCACTTCTGCTTGTTTCCCAAGGATGCACCTGCTTCTATGAGCCCTGCACACACAGAGCCCTTGGACAGGGATGCCGGAGTTCCCAGGGAAGGCTCGGCAGGGCCCCCGCTGAGCAGCATGGGGACATCCACAAAGGGCATCCAGGCCAGTCACCCCCAGACACGCGGCGCCTGGGCCTCAGGGTCCCCTAGGAAGTGGCCGGGGCAGCAGGACAGCAGCTCACCAGCCAAGACCGTGGGCCGCTTCTCGGTGGTCAGCACACAGGATGAGTGGACGCTGGCCTCCCCCCACAGCCTGAGGTACTCCGCCCCACCTGACGTCTACCTGGATGAGGCCCCCTCCAGCCCTGATGTGAAGCTGGCAGTGCGGCGAGTGCAGACAACCTCCTCCATTGAGGTTGCCGCAGGCGAGCCCGTGTCCAGTGACTCTGGGGACGAGTGCCCTCGGGGAAGGCCCCCGGTACAGAAGCAGGCATCTCTACCCAGTAGTGGCAGTGTGGCCGGCGACTTCATGAAGAAGGCCACCGCCTTCCTGCATAGGCCCTCACGGGCTGGCTCTCTGGGCCCAGAGACACCCAGCAGGACAGGTGTGAAGGTGCCTACCATCAGCGTGACATCCTTCCACTCCCAGTCATCCTACATCAGCAGCGACAATGACTCAGAGTTCGAGGATGCAGACATTAAGAAGGAGCTGCAGAGTCTACGGGAGAAGTAGGTCCTGCGGGTACGGGAGGTTGCACCGTGTGGTCTTGGCATCATCTCCCTGCATGCGGGACGCCAGTTGATGGGCTGAAGTCTGGGTCAAGCAGTGTCTACTTGGAGCCCCAGGAAGGGTGACAAGGCAGTAACAAGGCAACTTAGACCCATCCCTGCTGCTCTGAGTGGATATTCCCCCACTCAGTGTCCTCTGGGCTGGACCAGCCACCCCCTTGCTGTCTGCCTGGCTTCTTTGGGGGCTGTGCCTCCTTCCCCACACTTGCCTATGCCAAACCCTTCCTTCTGTTGCCCTGGGAGTGTTCCAGGCTGTCATAAGCTTGATGCCCCCTTACTCTCTCTGCTCTACTCTGTCTCTCCCTCTCTCCCTTCTTTCTCCCTCTGTTTCTGCCCACTCTCTCCCTTCTTCTTTCTTTCCTCCTCTCCTCCCTTTTTCCCTCTCTTTCCCTGTCTCGTGTCTTTCTGTCTCTGTTCCCATCTCTCTCTCTCTCTCTCCCTGTCTTTCCCTCTCTTCCTCTGTCTCTCTCCCCCATCCATGTCTCTCTCTGCCTCTGTTCCCCTGTCTCGCTCCCCCATCCATGTCTGTGTGTGTGAGTGTCTTCCTCTCTCCCTTTTCTCATTCAGCAGATATTTATTCTGCCTCCACTGTAGTCAGGGGTTACTGAGATGTCCTTTGGGATGGATGGGAAAGCCCAAGCAGTGTAGGTTTTAAGATATAGCTGGCCCCAAATTCACCATTGACTGAAAAACACATTGTGAGCAGGCATGTGTGGAATTGCAGGCTCACAGGGGGAGTGTGCACACCTTCCTTCTCTCCTCCCATCCTCTCTGCATAGCCTATGCACAGAGAGGACAAGAGAGTGTCTTCCCAGGCTGGGCGGGGCCGTCAGTGCTGTGTACCTAGGACATACAGAGTGCCCGTTGGTCCCTGCAGGGCTGAGAGGGGTAAGCTGGAGCTGCTGGGAGAGGCAGGAAAGCAGGACTGGGTGGAATCGCTGCTGTCTTAGAGGCACCCAGCGAGGCCCTGGCTGGCCATAGGACCTAGTGGAGCCTTTGTGGAAGCCAGAAGATGAATAAGCCCATGACGGGCGTGACCTTGGACCAATCAGGACAGAGAGGTGGGGCTCCTGGGTATGGTGGCTCAGTGAGAATGTTGCCCAGGAACCAGTAGTCAGTGGGAATGGAAGGGAGCTGAGATGTGGCCACCAGCTGCTGTCAGGAGGGCGTTGCAGAAGGGGCAGGAGAGTTTGGATGTGAAAACATTGGGGGAAAGGGTAGACTGAGTAGGCTCTGAGCCTGTACCCTGGGTGAAGGAGCCAGGAACAGGGGCCTAGAGGTGAGGGATGGGACCTAGTGGTCAAAGGTGGAGCCTAAAGGTGAGGGGTGGGACCTAGTAGACAGGAGCAGGGCCTAAAAATGAGGGACGGGGCCTGGAGTTGAAGGGCAGGGCCTAGAAATCAGCCAGGAATGGGCAGGGCCTAGGGAAGGGGCAGGACCTAGTAACAGAGGGACAGAGAGAGGGGAAGGAGGTATTCCAAACACACCTAGAAGGAAGGAAGGGTTTCAGGGAACCTAAGAAAGGAAAACAGACCCTAGGAGGGCCTTGGATCCCAGTGGAAAGGAGTGACCATTTAGAAGAGGATGGGGAAGATTTTGAACCTCAACTAGGAACTGACGGGACTTGTCGCATCTGATAGGAAGTAGCTAGTGGGTCCCAAACCTTGCTTGCATGAGAGCCCCTGGAACACCTTGTCAGAACTCAGGTACCTGGGTCCCACTGTAGGGTTTCTGACATGAGCATTGGGGTTTTCCGGGGCTCCAGGAACCTGGGCTCAACCCACCCTGCATTTTCATATGTCCGAGGTCCCTGGACTCTGCAAAGGACAGCCTGGGGCAGCTCTGAGTGCACAGAGGCACCCCCGTGGTGGAGGTCTTATTGCAGTCAGGGGCAGCAGCTGGGCTGTGGGGGTGTGGGCATCAGAGCAGAGCCCCAGACTGAGACTCTTCTGGTAAGACGCCCCCTCTGCCCATGGAGCAGCCCTTTGGCAGTCCAGGCTCCTCTTGAAACAGTGCTCCCTTTCAAAAGAGAGTGTGACACGACAGCAATGTGCCATTTCTCTCAGTCTTTGCAGGGAGAAAGCCATTCAGTTTTATTTTTGCATTTTTAGTAGCTAGAGAAAGTCCTTTTTTAAAAGGCAAATGTGACAGATGTTGAAGATATAGGAGGTAGAAGCAGAACTTGCTTCCTCATTTCCTATCATGAAAACCACCTGTTTTCCTGGTGGTTGGAGGCGGAGGAAGACAGGCCTGGGCTGAAGGTGAGTGGCTTCAGGCCCTAGCTGGGGTGGCTGAGGCCTCAAGGAAGGCTGGCATCCGGCCTTCAGAGGCTCAGTGCACTGTAATGCAGGAGGGCAGCCAGGGAGAAGGCCAGGGATCAGCCAGCGAGTCTCTGGGCACCCCTCGGGAGCCGAGCTTCCTCTCCTTAGCCGTCCAGAAGCCACCCTAGCCTGCAACCACGACAAGGGACCTGCCTGCATTTCCCCCACAGGGTGACGGGGAACCCTCCATGCTCTACCCACAGGGCAGTGTGGAGCCAGAGCCCCTGGCCAGTCCTGAGTATCTCGTCGCTTGCCCACAGAGTGCTGCCCCTCCTCCAAGCTGCCCTCCACACTCTTTTTTGCATTGCGGGGGAGGTAATACACATTTGCCTGATGAACTAAGGCAGTCTCTCAGTTCCAAGCATCAGCTAATTTTCCCTTCACCTGTGTTAGCATTTGGAGCTTGCCCTGCAAGTGTAGGGTCATTAAACAACATCAGGGGTCACAATTCTGGACACTGGAAAACCTAGAGCTCCTTGGGCTCACCCATGTCACTAGGCATGTCAGTGCTGGAGGCTCCAGCTGGGCACCTCCTGGTTTAGTGCCATTTGAAAGTCCCCATGTGACCCTCCAAGAGACGGGGCCAAGGCTGCTGCCCACAGCCTGCTTTCACACAGCCTGCCTTCTGGAGAGGCATTGCTGGTCCAGCCGAGGCGGCCCAGCATCCCCTGCTCTCTCCTCCACCAGGCACCTGAAGGAGATCTCGGAGCTGCAGAGCCAGCAGAAGCAAGAGATTGAGGCTTTGTACCGCCGGCTGGGCAAGCCACTGCCCCCCAGTGTGGGCTTCTTCCACACGGCACCCCCCACCGGCCGCCGGAGAAAGACCAGCAAGAGCAAGCTGAAGGCGGGAAAGCTGCTCAACCCCCTGGTTCGGCAGCTCAAGGTCGTGGCCTCCAGCACAGGTCGGCCTCTGGGTGGGAGCTGTGCCGGGGCTGGGATGGGTGAGGGGCCCGGAGACCCTGAGTGAACCTGGAAAGCAGGCTCAGTGCACGTGTGATACCCCCAGACCTGGCAGACTTCGGGTCTCCTCCTTTCTGAATCTCCTTTCACTGGAGCAAGGAGCATGCAGGGTGTTGCAGCCCCATCCTCTGTCCCCATGCCATGGGACAAGGTCTGTGAGTCAGTCGCAGGGGCTGCTTGAGCCAGGCCTTAGCCCTGTGTGTGCCAGGCAAGTCTAGGCCGTTCCCCCACCTGCTCCTCCCTGTGGGGCATTGTGCAGACAAATGGCAAATGCCTCCTTTGACTCCACCAGCTGCCTTTGGGGGGTGGGGGACAGTGACGATCTCCTGTTCTTGTATAATAGAAGGTGACACCAGGTGACTGGGCAGCATGGGCCCAGCTTTAGGCAGCCACGAGCCCCCACCCTTGCATGTCAGATCCCTGAACGACACTGTACATGTGTGCTGCCCAGCACTCTGGGGTAGAGACCCTGTGGGCCAAAGCCTGGGGCGTGCCAGGCGGGAGGCCACCACACACTCATCATAAGCCCACAACCCACGGGGCACACATCTCTAAGTTGCACAAGTTATACCAATTCAGTGCCAGTTCCCAAAGTTAAGGGGAGACTAATTAAGGCGAGAGGCGCACAGGGCACCATGAACCTGGGTGTGTGTCTCCGTCACTGTATTTACACAAGAGGGCAACACAGCAATGGGGACTGGAGGAGACTGGGTACCTCCTCTCATCTTCCCCAGCAACACCCCAGGGAGATCTGGCCACCTGCCCACTGTCCACAGGAGCCTCTGGGCTTCCCCAAGGTCACCCAGCAAGACTCAGCCACGAGCCCTGCAGGCGGCGCCTCATCCTGCCTGTCACCTCTTCTCCCCCCCGCCCAGGTCACTTGGCTGACTCCAGCAGAGGCCCTCCCGCTAAGGACCCTGCCCAAGCCAGTGCGGGGCTCACTGCAGACAGCACGGGCCCATGCGGGAAGGCAGTGCAGACCCAGCAGCCCTGCTCCGTCCGGGCCTCCCTGTCTTCAGACATCTGCTCCGGCTTAGCCAGTGATGGAGGTGGAGCGCGTGGCCAAGGTGATTCCCAGCTTGCCTGTCTCCAAGCATGTGCCAGCCACCATGTAGGGCCTCAGTGGTGACCCTAGGAGCACGCCTGTATTTGTGGGGGGGGCAAGAGCTGCAGCAAAGGCTGCCAGATGGCATCTTAAAAAAGAAAAAAAAAAGAGCGAGACACAGACTTTGGATGGAAAGGATGGAATTGCCCCAACCACCACCAGCTCTTGCCTTAGCCCAGAGCGAGGTGATGCTTTGCTAGAGTGGACCTTAGGAAGTGGCTAGGACTGGGGAGGGTGGGGAGGGGTCCTGGCCTCTGGCTGTGTGCTCTGTGGCACCCGTCCCTAGCCACTGGCTGCCCCACCCCCACCCTACTCCCACAGTGGGGCCCGATGGTGCTAAACACCAGGTCCTTCCGAAGTCCGGAGGGATGGCGGAGGAGTGGGGATGGGTGGGATGAGGGCACAGCTCTCGAGCTGGGAGTCTGGCCTCGAGGAGGACATGATCTCTCATCAACGCTGCCAGGGACGGCAGTGGCTGCTCAGTGAGCTGTTCTTCTGTCCTCACCATCTCTGTCCAGAGGACTCATGGTGACCATGAAGGCACCCCCCCCCCACTGTCCCCTCCTCTGGGCCGCTTCTCTTCTCCTGCTGCCTCCTTCCCATTACGTGGTCAGTGGCTCTGGTGCTTCGGGCTGGGCTAGATGATGGAGCCGTGGATGTTAAGTGACGAGGCTGGTGTGGCTGTTGGTATGGAAGAGGAATCGAAGCAACTTGTACTTGATGAGTGTCTCTTTGTTTTCTTCCCTCTATATTCATTTGCAGGCTGGACGGTTTACCACCCAACGTCTGAGAGAGTGACCTATAAGTCTAGTAGCAAACCTCGTGCTCGATTCCTCAGTGGACCCGTATCTGTGTCCATCTGTCTGTATTTGTTCTTTTGTATTTTACCACCTCCCGGCCCTTGGTTTCTCCCCCCACCGCCTTCCTGTCTTCATTACCTTCCATACATTTCATAGGATGGCCCCCACCCCCATCAAAATCACCTACTGAGTCTCAAAAGCAGCCCCTGCCAGCTGGCCCCGGAGCGGCCCCCCAGCCCACCTCGGCCCCGTGCAGCACGTGTGCATGCTCTTGGCTCATGCCTGGGCATCAAAAGCATGTGCAGCATCCGGCTGCCTTCTGCCCAGGCACCTCTGCCCACATGTAGCGGGGCCCTTTGCATTTTTTTTTTTTTGATCACCTCATTTATTTAATTTTTTTTTATGTTGGATGTAGTTTTTTGTTTTTGTTTTTTTTTCTGTTGCAATTGTGGCAGATATACGTGTCCGCTGTCCCCAGTTCCAGCGACAACCAAAAGACAACCCCAACCTTCTCCAGACTCATGATGTGTGTTACACGTGTCTGGACTGTGAAGACACGCATGTAGCAAGCCGATACAGTTCCAGAGGTCACTGGAGGGTGTGGCTTCTGTACCAGGGCCAAACCCCAACACCACCGCCCATCCCCTCGCATGCGGAAGTGCTGAGAGAGCAAGCTCCAGCCCGGGCCTCCGGAGCCCCTGCCCTGCTGGACAGGGAGACCTGGTCCCCTCTGCCACCCCTCCTCACCTTCTCTCCAGCCCCAAAAGACAAGACTGACAGCCTGCCCCTGCGGCTCTTTTGGAGCACGCATCCTTCCTGGCCGGCCCCTTCTCCCCTCTACCCAGCTGAAGCTCTTTGCTTGGCGTATTTTCCCATGACCTCACGTGACGCAGGGATGAAGTCAGTGACACACTTTCTCAAGCCTCTGCTAATCCAGTGTTCAGTTCCAGTCTCCCCCAGACACCCTGGAACATGCTCTTAGAGCCCAGGAATCCCATCTCCAGAGAAGGCACACCTGCTTGGGGCCATCCAAAACTGTGCAGCTTGTTTTTAACCCTCAGAATGATTGGCTGATTAATCCAAAGCTGTGGAGTTTACAGGCTTTTGCCTTTTTAACAGGAGAATTAGGCTTTTTAACAATTGGATTGGACATGCTGGTTTGGGGCACATGACTTTTTGCTTGTACAATAAAGATACATTGTGCTTGTCAGAAGCCAGAGGCCACATCCGCAGCAGGCGTCCATTGCCATCAACCCACCCCCATCCGAGGCCCACATGGGCCATCATCCTCCAGGCGGGATGCTAAAAGACATCAGGGCCATGTAGAACAGCCAGGGACTCCCCAGGGGTTGCTTGCTTAGTTAACAGGATGCCTCATTTCCGCCACATGTTGTCCCACTGTCGGTTGGGTAGCCTGGGCAGCCTGGCATCTGGGTAGTTGCCAAGTTGAATCTGGGGAGAGTGTCGAAGGGCACCATCTGCAGCAGCCTTGTCCTGGCCCCTGCTCGCCATGCACCTCACTTGCTATTCCTCTTCCCGCACATGCATGTGTGCTGGTGCTAGGGTTATCATGGGGGTGAGGGCGCCAGGAGACTTGGCATGGGATCTTCATTTCAGGCGTGGTACCCACCTCCTGCCCAGGCCTCATGCACCAGCACTGCAAGTTCTGTGTTGTGCAGCTTGGCTCCTGCCAGAAAGCCTTGGTCAGTTTCAGGCTGTGATGTGGCCCACACACTCTGAAGTCATGGCCAGGAGCAGCGTGGGTGAGCTCCAGCCCCAGATGCTTCTCGGCCGGTCAGGGTTGGCTCCAGCCCTCTGATCTCCCTACTGCTCTCTTGGGCCACTGCAGGGACCATCCCCTCCCATCTCTCTATGCCAGACTGTAGAAGTTGGGCTTCTCATGGAGCTGTCCATCATACCCTGCTGGTTGTGGACCTTCCAGAGGAGGGGTGCCCTGGGTTCTGGGAGGACAGTGAGCCCCTGCATGGAGAAGACTAGAAGGTAGCGGGAGGCCCAAGGACTTGGGCAGAGGCAGCAGGACTGAGCCAGGTTGGAGGCTGGGAGGAAAGGACACTGGGGGCATGGGCAGTGTAAGCATACCCTTGGGAACGTGCTGTGGTGGGTCTGGCTCTATACAACCATGGTGTCAGGGGTCGTGCTGCAAGGGGAAGAGGGACAGGGCTCAAGTACCAGAGAAGGCAGGGCCACCCCAAGCTTAGTGGGTTGGGCTGGGTTGGAGGGTGGCTGGGGGCACCCAGGTGACTGTGCCAGGCAGAGCAGCAGGCAGCATGGAGATTGGGAGCTGGCCCCATGTGGAGGGACTGGGAATAGGTTGAGCCCTGGAGCAACAGTGGGCAGACCCCCAGAGAGTTCAGAGCCCCTGGACATACCCCCGTGAGCTGGGCCACTACAGGATTCCTCCTAGTGGTCAGCAGATACTGGGGTGGGGTCTCAGTTACCCTGCACTTCCTGAAGGACTATACTCAGAGCCAGGAGGAGGGTCTAGGCACAGACCCTGAGATGGCACCCTGGTGGTTCTGTCAGTCAGAAGCTGATGTTTTTTAGGTCCTCCTATCTGATTGTCCAGGTGCTGACACCCTCTGGGCCTTTCTTTGTGCATGTAGGAGCCATGGGGTCTCGCTGTGTATTTTCCTCAGGTTGTTTGTTGGTTGTGGCAGGTGTGACTTGGGGGCCCTCTGGTGCTGCTGTGCCGCCTTTCCAGCCCTTCCCCACCCTGACAGGAAAGGGGGGGTACACAGCAAGGCCCTTTGTGGTGGGAGGGAGAGGTCCCTGGGGCAGAGGGCAGCCAGAGAGAAGGCTCCCACCCCATACTGACCTCTGCAACCCAGGTGGTCAACTTAGGCTGTCAGAGCAGTGTGTTGTTACACACTGTTGTGGGCTATCAGTGGTGCAGGCCTGGGCCTTCAGGGCCCACGTGGGACCTGGCTCATCCAACTCATGGTGACATGAAAACATCTCCAGACCACCCTGAGCAGAGCTGAGGCACATCCTTGTTTCCCAGTTAATGATTGATGGACAGTTTTTGACCATTTTCTTGGCTCCAGAACATGGTTGCTTGATGTGTAGACACTCAAAGGGTGTTTCAGCCCTGGACGCCCTTTTTTTCCTCCTGTGCCAGAAAAGGGAGCCAATATGAGGGAGGGGAGGGAGACAAGGAGTGGGAGGACCACCTCCAGTTGTTCTTGTGCCGGGGCTATCTCATGGGAAGTTTAGTATGTGAACAATGTGATGTCAAAAGCCATGGTGAGGCATTGCTCAACGGCTGACCCGCTTTCACACTTGTCCCAGGCAGAGGCAGATACCTTGGCTTGAATCCTCATTGATTTGAATCCTCATTGATGGAGCTGGGGAGAGGTAGGTGCTCGGCAGTGGAGAGGGCAGGCCTGTGACCCAAGCACAGATTTTTGTGCCGAGATGAGTTGAGCGTGGGACAGGTGGGGCCTCACCAGCTACCCCCAGGCAGTAGGCTGTCAGCTTGGGCCATGCCTGTGGGGCTCTAGCACACATCGGCTATACAAAATAGAGGTGCCAAGGTCAAGAGCTGACCTTGTTGCTGTCCCATGTGCTGCTGTCCTTACATTCTGGAGAGGAAATCGTGTGTCCCCTATAGCTGGGATGAGTAGCTCAGGGCCTGGACACCTGCTCTTCCTGACTTTGGCTGAGGATGGAAGCCCACAGGGAGACTAGGCTGTCTGGTGTGGGCTCCCCAGCCTCCCCTCCTCTCCCACTGTGGTGTGGGCAAGACCCCAGGGCACTTGTCCTGGGATGGTAGGGGGCAGGGCCAAGTATGGGCTGTCCATCAGATGCCACCTGCGTGGTAGGAACGGAAGGAGCAGGGCCCAGAGCCAGGGCAGAGGCATTGTGGGAAGATGGACTAAGGAGCCACCAAAGAGCCACTAGGATGGGAAGGGCTGTCCAGAGGGTGGCCCGATCTGTCCTAGCCCAGTGTGGCTGCAGGGCTGAGGTTCTGCACTGAGCCATGCCAGGGAGTATGGCCTTGATGTAGAAAGTCTGAAATCCCTCTGTTGTATATTCACCTGGTGTCCTGTTCAAGAAGGCTGTGGAGGGCTGGGAGCTGTCTGTGCTCTGGTCACCTGATCTCATGTCTAGGAAGACTGTGGAGGGTCAGGAGCCACCTGTGCTCTGGTCACCTGGTCTCATGTCCGGAAAGACTGTAGAGGACCAGGAGCCATCCATGGTCTGGTCACCTTGTGTACAGTAGGGCTGTGAAGGGCAAGTAGCTATCTGTGCTCTGATCACCTTGTGTCCGGGAAGGCTGTGGAGGACCAGGAGCTGTCTGTGCTCTGGTCACCTTTTGCCATGACCAGGAAGGCCGTGAAGGGCTGGGAGCATCTATGCTCTGGTCGCCTCATGTCTAGGAAGGCTGTGGAGGGCCAAGAGCCGTCTGTGCTGTGGTCACCTTGTCGCATGATATCTGGGAAAGCTATGGAGGGCCAAGAGCCATCTGTGCTCGGGTTACCTCATGTCTGGGAAGGCTGTGGAAGGCCAGAAGCCGTCTGTACTGTGGTCATCTCATATCCAGGAAGGCTATGGAGGGCCAGGAGCTGTCTGTGCTCTGGTTACCTGGGTCTCGTGTCTGGGAAGGCTGTGGAGGACCAGGAGCCAACTGTACTGTGGTCACCTGGTCACCTGATGTCCAAGAAAGCTGTGGAGGGCCAGGAGCTGCCTGTACTCTGGTTAGTGTTACTCCCAGTTCCTAACATGGGTCCTATCTGCTATAAGCTCCAGATCCCAGGTTCCCAGAGCAGTGAGTCGGGCCCAGTTCTGAGGGTAGGTCCAGGCTCGCTCTAGTGGTTTCCAGCCAGCAACTGGCCTATCTATGTTCTTCCCAGTGTGAAGGTGCTGGCAGTTAGCCCCCAATGTAGAGTTCCAGGCACACCAGAAGCCATCGGACTAGCACAGAGCAGCTCCTATACAATACCTGCTGCAATCAGTCTCAGGTCCAGCATCACCATTAGCCCCTGTCTTAGGGCCACCACTTGGGACTGTAAGTCTAGCAGCCACAAGCCAACACAGAGCCTTACAGGTCAACCTAGGCCACATCACAGACTTTGGGGGGCCCCTCCCACACCACTGAAAACAAACTAAATCTCCCTGCCTCCAAGGGGATGTGCCTGTGTGTCCCAGGAGAGTTTCATCTTAAAATATAGGGCAGAGATGGCATAGCCCTTCAGAGCCTTCCCATTTGCCTCCCCCCTGCCTGGCTCTCGCCTTTTTATTTGAACAATGAAGACTCCGACCAGCACCTCACTTGGCCCACAGTTGTCTCAGAGAACACAGAGTGAGGTAAAGATATGGCGATTTGAGCTGGGTTTCCAAGTCTGGTACACATAGCTCAGGCCAAACTCGGGCCAAGGAACTGGGCAACGGTTACCTACTGTCCCTTGAGGCATGAGGCACAGCCCTTCTAGAGAAGGAATTCAGGTTTCCCAGGTACCTGGAAGATCTGAGTCTCACTTTTCAGGTCTTTGTGGATCAGTGCTGAGTGTGTTGTGGGCTTCCCTCCTGAGAAGCATGTCCCTGTGGGGGAGGGTCATGCTCCTGGTAGAAGGGCCATGGGCTGGACAGCCGGACCCTCCATGCTAGCGTGGCTTTGCCGAGTGACCTTGGGAAAGTCTGAGCCTGTTCTTACCCATCCCAGTCTGCCTGCCCATAGGATAAGTCAATGCAGCCGCGCCTTCCAGCCCAGCCTGCCCTAAGCACCTGCCCCTTCAGGCTGAATACTGACTGCCAGGACATTACATTCGTTATATAGCCAACAGCCCCTGGGCAGTACAGAGCCAGTCTGCTTAGTGGCGGTCCCAGTAACAAGGAGGCCAGAATGTTCCAGACTGAGGCCTCACCCAACTCCTTGTGGATACTGACTGTTGAGGCAGAGGCAGCAGTGTCCCTGAACACTGGAATCAGCCCTTAGGCAGGAACTTCTACTCTTCTTCCCAACATCCACCACTGACTATCCACGGCAACCATCTGGGATCCAGAATTGGCCTCAAACCTGCAAAACAATGTATCTTTTTGCACTTGGAAAACCTCTGAGGGGCTTTGGTGGCCTGAAGTCCAGGCTGTGCCTGGCTCCAGTCAGAGCTCAGGTGACTGCTAGTGGTTTTCCTGCCTCAGCCAGTGGGGCTCCCAAAAGCCCAATGTTTGAAAGCCAAGCAGTGTGCTTTGCTTTTTTTTTTTTTTGCTTTTTCTCTTTTTCTTTTTTCTTTCTCTTTTACTTTTCTTGGAATATGCTTCTAGAGACAAACACTTCTCCCTGAAGCTTGGGGGCTTGGCCCTGGCACCCCTGCCCCTTGGCGAAGCTCGTGTGAGCCTGCACACTAACTCCGGGGACTGCCCAGGTTCCCTGGGCCGGGCCGGCCCTCCTCTCTGAACTGCTGCCTTGTGTCTGCCCCTCCCCGCACACTGACGACTTTTGCTTAAAGTGTGGTAGTATGTCCCAGTGTGTGCTGTTCTGCCTAACCCTGTGGTCTTGTGTCGTTTCTTTTTCCCTTGCAGGGTCTGCCCTGAAGCGTCTCTGCCTAGGCAAAGAACACAGCAGTAGTAATTATCCGGGTTTTTTTCCCCCTTTTGTCCTCTCTCATTGCATGGGCTTTCTGTGGCTAGCGTACATCAGGGTTCCCGAGGCCGGGCGGGTGTGGGCCTGCTCCGTGCCTGCTCCGTGCCCCATCCATCCTCCGGGCATTGCTTCGCTTCTGCCTGGTGGCATAGCTGCCCTCTGTGTCTCCATGGCTCCTAGAGTTTGCGCAGTCTCGCCAGTTCACATCTAATGGGCTTATCCTTCTCCAGAACATCCACAAATTACCGATGTTAATTGGCTCCTTTTCCAAAACCATAGGAATGAGTATTTCCTTGAAGTCCTAAAGATGAGTGCCTCCCCACGAGGAGAGATACCAGGACTGAGTGGGTATTAGTCTACCTGGGCCACTCACTTCTCTTTCTCTCTCTCATCTGTCTCTTTTTTTGTTTGTTTGTTTGTTTGTTTTTCTTTTCTGGCTGAACTTTTCATGTAGGAATAACTCCATGTGTGTAAAATCTCATCACTAATTTTTAACTGTTTGTATCTGTGCTTTTCATTGCTAGCCACTAAAGTCCACTACATTTTGGGACAGCTTGTTTGAAGAGATGGTCATTAGGTTATTTTTAATTCAGAAAAATCTTAAATTGGCTTATTCAAAATTGCCAACTAGAAATTACGTGGGGAGAGAGGGGATATAATTACAAAATATAAAAGTCCCATTTTGTTCACTTAAGAAAATATCTTTTGATGGATCTGCCAAGTGCTCTGGTCAGCCAATGCTCGACCAAGTAGCTCCCAGCTCCCTCCTGCCTTTCGGCATCAGCCCCAGGCCACATCCGGAGCTGCTGGAGCCCACATCTGGTGACTCTAGGTATTTGTACCCTTTCTTGATACCCTCCCCAAATGCTCTGGTAAGGAAAGGCACAATTTCTCTGTCTCAAATTCCAATTAACCAAGCCATTGGGATTCATGGGATTGCAAATGGTGCAGCCTACTGCAAGCATTTTTCCGCAGGCGAGGGGGTTGCCGGTGGGCCAGCGGTGGCTGCCGCATGCCCAGCACTCTGCACAAAGTATTCCCATGTCCCCTGTGTTCTCATGCTATGGCTGAGGATACACAGGCCAGAAAGCACCTGAGGACCCTAGGTGCTAGGAAGGAGAAGCTCACGTGCGTCTGGCCATGTCAGGAGTTACCTGAGCTGTCACATGTGAGTCTGGGGACGGGTGGCAGTGGGCAGAGTGGACACTGAGCAGAGGCCACCAGCTGCTGCAGGGTCCTGTCCCCTGAACTTGCTTAGGAGATGGGTGACGGCCACTTGGCTCAGCCCTGACACCCATAGCCTGTGGACATGCCCCACCGTGTCTGAAACTGGGCACCTAGGCCCGTAGTCCCGACCGCCTCTTGAAGCAAGGTGCTGCCTGGCCAAAGTGAGACCATTGTCTCAGCTGTCACATAAGAATGCGTGCTGCCCACCCACTGGGGCCTGGGCGAGTGTGTGGCGTCACCAATCCTGGCCTGTGTGTGTGACTCCCCAGGGTCCTCTACCAGCAGCCTGGCCCCAGGCCCCGAGCCGGGCCCACAGCCCCCACTGCACGTCCAGGCACAGGTGAACAACAGCAACAACAAGAAAGGCACCTTCACAGACGACCTGCACAAGCTGGTAGACGAGTGGACAAGCAAGACTGTGGGGGCCACGCAGCTGAAGCCCACCCTCAACCAGCTGAAGCAGACCCAGAAGCTGCATGACATGGCCGCCCAGGCGGGCCGCACTGCTCCAGGCGAGGCTCAGGCTGTGAGTCAGGCGGGCGGGACTCTGCGGGCGGGACTCTACGGGCGGGGTGGTGGCGGCCTGAGTACTGGCCAGTACCACCCAGGTAATGGGCAGGGCAGCACATGAAGCCTTTCACTTTCGTGGTCCTAGTGCATTCTTACCACAGCCCCAGCAAGCAACTTTCACACTTCACTGAGAGGAGGAAACCAATTTGCCAGTGGCCCCACACATGGCCAGTGGCAGCAACAGGATGGGCGGGTCCACCTCCATCTGAGTTCTGTGTGTCCCCAGGATGGAGAATGAGCATGTGTGCACACCACTGGAGCAACACCAGTGTTGGGCCTTTGGTCACACGCACCCGAACCAGCATGGGGCAGAAAGGAGGACCTTCTCTCCTGGGTTTTGGCACAAAGCATGTGTTTGTATCGGGACTAGTTGGAAGAGTAACCCCTCTTCAGCTTTCTGGAGGAACTTGTAGAAGATTGGTGTTATTTCTGTCTTAAATGTTTAGTAAAGTTCATTGGTGAAGTCATCTGGGCTAGAGTAATTTTGTTTGCTTGTTTGTTTTGAGTGTAGGAAACATTCCTTTATGACCTTTTACTTTGAAAAATTTCAAACACACGGAAGAGTTCAAAATTCTGCAGTGAACACTCATACATCCACTGCCTATACCCTAATTGACACTTTGCTGTATTTATCACAGGTGTGTTCATCTTGAGGATACGCTTGCTATTATAGATGCAATTTCTTCTATAGTTTTAGCACCATTCAGATTTTCTGTTTCTTCTTGTGACAGTTTTGTGTTAAATTCTGCTTTTCTAGCAATCAATACCTCTCCTCCAAAATCACCTAAATTTTCAAATCAATTACCATAAAATTGTCCATAATGCCATTTATTTTTAGCTTGCAGGGCTTACAGTGATGTCATTTTTTATTCCTAATATTGGTGATTTCTGCCTCCTCTCTCTGTCTCCCTCTCCCTTCCTCTTCCTCTATTTCAGCTTACATAATCTTCTGAGGGGTGTAAATTTTATTAACCTTTTCAAAGGACACTTGCCTTTGATGATATTCTTTGTATGTTTCATTAATTTCTTCCCCAACTGAACCTCTGTCCTCATGAAACATTGACTCTCCAGCCACTACTCTGGTACCTCTGGCTTCTCAGCTCCTGGTAACCTTTATTCTATTTTCTGCCTCTATGACTTTGACTATCTAAGCACATCATGTAAGTGGAATCATATAGTACTTGTTCTTTTGTGACTGGCTTGTTTCATTTTGTATAATGTTTTCAAGGTACACCAAGTAATGGCATATATCAGAACTTCATTTTTTTTTTTCTCTCTGATTTTTAAAATTGTGGTGGTAAAGTACACAAAAAAAACTTATCATTATAACCATTTTTTTTTTTTTTTTGAGTTGGAGTCTCACTCTGTCACCCAGACTGGAGTGCAGTGGCCGCTCCCGGCTACCGCAGCCTCGCCTGCTGGGCTCCGGCGATCCTTCCGCCTCAGCCTTCCGAGTAGCTGGAATTACAGGCGCGCGCTACCACAACCGGCTAATTTTTTTTTTTTTTGATTTATTGTAAAAATGAGGTCTCGCCAAGTTGCCCAGGCGGGTCTCGAACCCGCGGGCTCAGGCAATCCACTCACCTCAGCCTCCCAAAGGCGCGGGATTACAGGCTGAGCCACCGAGCCCGGCTCATTATAACCATTTTAAGTGGACAGCTCAGTGGTATTAAATGCATTCAAATGGGTAGAGGGTTCACTTTTCAGTAATGGTTATATTAATAGCCCAGACCTCACCACTGTGCAGTATACTCATGTATCAAAACTGCATTCATGCCCCCTCAATTTATACAAATAAAAAAAAAAAATCAGCAAACCATGCTGTAAATAAAAAGATACAAATAAGTGAATAAATCCATTCAAGATATTGTATAACTGTTGCCACTATTGTCTAAACCTTTTCCTTATGTTTTCTTCTAAGAATTTTATAGTTTTACCTTTTACATTTAGACCTTTGGTCTATTTTGAGTTAATTGTTATAAGTTAAGGTAAGGGTTTATCTTTACTTTTTCCCTGCATAATTTGTTGGAAAGATTGTCTTTTCCCAGTTGAATGGTCCCAACATTCTCATCGAAAATCATTTCACTATGTATATTAGGGTATATTCCTGGGCATTCTTTTCTCATTCTGTGACTCCCTGATGCATTTATTGGTCCACTTAATGATATACATATGTCCCTGAGGCTCTGCACACTTCTTTTTATGCTTTTTTTCTGCTCCTCATACTTGATCATTTCAATGTAGTATCTGAGGTTTACTAAGTCTTTATTCTGCCTGCTCAGATCTGCTGGCAAGCCTCTCTAGTGAATTTTTTACATTTCAGTTATTGTACTTTTCAGTGCTTCTGTTTTCCTTTTTATAATGTCTGTCTAGCAATACTCTCACTTTGTTTTTTGTTTTTTTGTTTTTTGTTTTTTTGAGTTGGAGTCTCACTCTGTCACCCAGCCTCGACCTGCTGGGCTCCGGCGATCCTTCTGCCTCAGCCTTCCAAGTAGCTGGAACTACAGGCGCACGCTACCACACCTGGCTCACTTTTTATTTATTGTAGAGATGAGGTCTCGCCAAGTTGCCCAGGCGGGTCTCAAACCCGTAGGCTCAGGCAATCCACTCACCTCAGCCTCCCAAAGGCGCGGAATTACAGGCTGAGCCACGGAGCCCGACTGATACTCTCACTTTGTACATGTGTTATCTTCCTGGCTTCCTGTAATTCTGTGTCCATGATTTCTTTCCTTTGGCTCTTTGAGCATATTGAAGACAAGTGATTTAAAGTCTTTGTTTAGCACATCCAGTCTAGGCTTCTTCTGGGACAGTTTCTGTCAATTAAATGTTTTCCCTTGAATGGGTCATACCTTCCTTTTGTATTTTCTTCATATTTTAGGTAATTAAATTTCATGTTGTGTCTAAACTGCTATTAAGCCTATCCATTGAGTTTCTAACTTTGATTATTATATTCTTCTATTGAATTTCTATGTGTTTTTCCCCCACATCAGCTGTATTTTTTTTTTTTTTAATAGTTTCCTACTCTCTGCCACAATTCTCAATCTTCTCTTTCCTTCAGATAATATTTTATGGTTTCTATTTTCTCTTTGACATAATTTTTCTTTATATAATCTTGTCTTTTTGTGACTTTTTTATATTGTGGGTGGAACACTGTATTTGAATACTTAACTTGCAAAAATAATTTGAGGCTTTCTCATTTTTATTTTAGTTTGCCTTTGAACACCTTTTCATATTCTTATCAATTGTCTTTTTTAAAGTGCCAGGTCAAGAAAGTAACCATCTAAAAGTTGATTTGTTTATCTTTTTATTATTGATTTATGGGAGTTCCTTATATACCACTTGTCATATCCAAAGGGACTTTTAAAAGATCTTGGAAAATGGCATTAAAAGGTAAAAATAAAAAATATAATTTTTATTTGTTAACATAAGCTCCGTCAAGGTCAAGACATTTTAAAGTAATGTACCAACCACTTAGTCCATTCCTATAAAAATAGAAGGTCCTGGGAATTGAGCCATGTCGAGGCAGTCTTTTTTGTATTATTAACTGAAGAAAAATAGGTGCCTTTAGAGATGTTTTAAAATTAGGAAACAAGAAATCAGAAGGAGCCAAATCAGAACTGTGAAGTGGATGCCTACTGATTTCCCATGGAAACGCTCACAAAATTGCCCTGGTTTAATGAGAAGAATGAGCAGGAGCATGGTCGTGGGGGAGAAAGACTCTCTGGGGAAGCTTTTCCAGGCTTTTTTTTTTTTTGCTAGAGCTTTGACTAACTTTCTCAAAATGCTCATAATATTCAGTTATTGTTCTGTGGCCCACTAGAAAGTCAAAAAGCAAAATACTTTAAGCATCTCAAAAAACTCTTGCCATGACCTTTGCTCTTGACCTGTTTGCCTGTGCTTTGACTGGATCACAGCCACCTCTTGGTAGCCACTGTGTTGATTTGGCATTGTTTCCAGGATTGTACTGGTAAAGCCATGTTCCATCTCCTGGTATACTTCTCCAAAGAAATACTTCAGTATCTTGATCCCACTTATTTAAAATCTCCGTTGAAAGCTCTGCTCTCATCTGCAGCTGATCTGGATGCAATGGTTTTGGCACCCATCAAGTGGAAAGTTTGTTCAACTTTAATTTTTCAGTGAGAATTGGGTAAACTGAACCAATTGAGATGTCTATGGTATTAGCTGTTGTTTGTGCTGTTAATCGTCAGCCCTCTTCAGTTAGGGCACAGACAAGATGAATTTTTTCCTTACAAATCAATGTTGATGGCCTGTTGCTGCAGGCTTCATCTTCAATACTGTCTTGTCCTTTCTTAGAACAAGTCATCCTGTATACTGCTGATTTGGGGAGGGCATTGCCCCGTAAATCTTTCATAAAGGAGCAGTGATTTCATCATTCTTCCACCCAAGTTCCACCATATATATTATATTGGGTCTGGCTTTGTTTTTAGCAAAATTCATGTTACTCTGATGGGGGCTCTTTTCAAACTGATGTCCTATCCTTCTTAGTGCCTCAGATTCAATCCTATTCAGACATGTTACAACAAGTTAGTGTGAGTTTATTTTGATACAAAAAATTTGAAATTCAGGCTTATAGTTTTTTCATAATCCGTATTTTTCATGAACCCTTTTGAAGTCCTCTTGTGTACACACACACACACACAATGGGTATGTTCTACAATCTATGGCATGTTTTATCACTTTCTTAATGGTGAAAGTGAACAAGCAAAAGTTTTAATTTTGGTCTTTCTGAAAGCTTCATAGTTTTAGCTGTTGCATCAGTCCTGTGAGGCATCTCAAATCAGCTTTTGTGTAAAGTTTGATGTAGGGGACAATCTGTTTTGTTTTGTCTTGTTTTGTTTTCCTGTGTGCATATGTGGTTGTTTTAGCACATTGCTGTCCACAATGAATTGCCTTGAATTCTACAGACATTCATCCAGTGACCACATATGTGTAACCATTTCTTCATTTGTTATTTTGTTCCCTTTACCCATTCCCTCGTCGATAAATAATACCACACTCTCTTAATTGCTGAAACTTTATGGTAAGTTTAATATTTGGTAGGGTAGGACATCCAATGTTGATCTTCCTCAAGAATTTCTTGATGTCTTAAGGTCATTAATAATTGCATGTTTCTTTTAGGACTAGCTTATCACTTTCCATGGGCTAATCTAGTTGGATTTTGATTAGGAGTCTGTTGATTAACTGGGTATGGTTGGACAGACATTAACAATATTGAGTGTTCCTTTAAACACGGTGGGATTCTGTTTATTTACATCTTTTGTATTTCTCTTCAATGTAAAGATGTTATGCATCTTTCATAACATTTATCCATAGGTAGTTGGTGTTTTGAAATGCTATTATAAATTATATTGTTCTTGAAGTTTCACTTCTCGGCTATATGGTGCTATGTATAGAAATATGGCTGTCTTTTGTGCCTTGTGTCCTGCAGTCTTGCTCGACTTACTGTTAGTTCTAGAAATTGACTTGTCCATACTTGTGGGTTTTCTCCATATACAATCTTGTTACCCACAAATAAGGACAGTTTCCCTTGTCCCTTTGCAGTCTGCACCTCGTATTTCTCTTTTTGCCTGGCTGGACTTCCCTCACAGTGTTGAGTAAGAGTATGCAGGAGCACTTTGGGGGAACATTTGGCAGGGGCTTAATTGTCAGCTCTCTAGAGGCCCTGCACAATGGAGGGGGCTCCCTGCTGGCCCCAGCTACTGAGCGTGCTTTTCTGAAGGGCTGGGGGCATCGTCAAGGGCCCTCCTGCATCCGTGGAAAGCACAAGTGGGGTTCTTACTGGAGTGAAGCATGCGCTCCTGGGACAAATACACTTGGCTCATGATGTTTCCTCTTTTCTGTAGTTGCTTGATCCGAGTTGCCAACTTTTGACCTAGGGCATCTGAAGGGTGTTGGTCTGTGACCTCCTATCCTGCAGTGGTCCCCTCAGGGTTCTGTCTCCAGCTAGGCTGGTCTCGAAACCAGTGGCCACTCCTTTCCCACCCTTGTGCTGCATCTCTGGGGGCTGGGCATGAAGACTGCCTTGCCACCACTCCATGCACGCCTACTGGCCCAGGCGCTGGGCCCCTGCTCCTGCCCAGCTCCCGGGCTGTTCGGTCTCCCACACAGTACTGTCAAGCAGGAGGCCTTTGTGCTGGCTGGTGTGAGGGGGTGAGTGTGGGCTGCTCATGCACCCTGAGGGGCCCAGGCCCTCAGGTACTTCTCTGAAGCCTTTTTTTGTCCAGTGGACAGCCCAGGCATGTGGTCTGGAAGCAGCTGGGACCTGGTTCTGGGAAGGAGGGAGCGAGGATGCTGTCATTCCAACATCAGCTATTAGAGGGTGACCATCCACACAGGTCTCCAAACCGCTGTCTCCCAAGGATAGAGGAACTGCAGGGACCCCAGGGGCATGAGGGGAGGCCAGCCAACTGTAGTCACATGTACCTTCCTCTTGTCTCTGTGTCTCATAGATGACTGTACCTCGAGCAGGAGTGGGGATGCCACGTCTGGCCCCAGCGCCTGGCCCTCTGTCCACCACAGTCATTCCTGGAGCCACCCCGGCCCTGCCCATGTCCATACCAGGTACTGCCCTCTCCAGCCTCCCAGCCCCACCCTGTTTGCTGCCCCTGGGTCAGTACAGAGGCTTGCTCCCAGCCCCAGTGTCCTTGGGGCCTTGGGCAGCCCAGGTAGACCAGTTGGAGGCCCAGGGCAGCTGGAGCCTGGCCCAGGTACCCATACTGCCCGTGTTTTCACGGCCACCTGTGGTCAGCGCACCTTGCCCCCAGCTGCGCATCACATAGCCCTCCACCCTGTTCCTTGGCAGTGGGCACCCTCTGAGCCCCACGGAAGAGTTGGGTGTGGTTTAGCCTCCAAGTCACACTCCACCTGCCATAAACACGGTGCCCAGCCTCAAGGGGGCATGTGTGGGCAGCAAGATTTGCCTCCTTGATGGCTTCAGATCCTGTTCACTCATAGGTGCCTGCGGTCTGTGCTCAGTCTCCACACCCACTCCCTGTACTTGAGTTGATAGTTAGAGCTTGTCCGCAGCCTGCAGAAGCTCAGTGCCTTGAATTCCAGCCTTTCCATTCCCAATGAAAAGAGATGTTAAAATCATTGATCAGAAAAGGCTTCATTTACAGTTGGCTTGTGCATTGATACCTTTATTTGCTGTTTTAAGTTGCAGAGATGTTAATGGTTTACAAATCTAAAGCTGAAGTTCAATCTTTGTTTTTCTGTTGTAAATGCCTTAAAAAAAATCAATTAGCAAAGTTAGCTATGAGTAGCTTCAACCGCTAGGTGAGCCAGCTTCATTCTCAGGCGAATGCGTCTTCCTGGGCTGTTTTGGGGGCTGAGAGAGGGCAGGCAACAGGGCAGGGCACACTGGCAGTAGTTGGTCTCTCAGTAAGGAATGTCAGCAGCTGTGTTGGGCCACAAGGAAAACTGGGCCTGCCAGAAAACTCTTGGTGAGCAAACACACCCTCATAGCTGACCAGCTGTTGCGAGCTTGGATGGGGGTATGTGCCTGGCGTGGAAACTCCGCCACCTATCTGCTCCCAAGAGACCAGTGCAGCTCCTTCAGCAGGGGTTCACCCAATCTCCTGCCCACCACCTGGCCATTTCCCTTCCTTTTCATGGTGTTCACGGAGGCCTGTGACCCTGCTCACCCCAGCAAGCAGACCACCCTCCCAACTCCCCTGAGGCTGGTCTGTTGGGTAGGGTTGTTCTGGAGATTTCCAGTGGGACCAATCCCAGTGGGCCCAGTACAACTCCACAATGGACGGGAAGACCCTGCCTCCTCCCCTATCACATGTCTCCTGCCCCCCCCCCCCCAACTGGAAGGTGACTGCCTGGGGCTGCCCAGTTGTGAACTGTATAATTTCTGTACTTACTAGAACTGTCTAAATTATTTTGGTTTAAATCTATTATTCCATCAATTCAGTTAGAATTGACTTTTCTAGGTGATTATGCAGAATCTTCTGCCAGGGCATGATGCTGTTGTAAGAGATTTCTGTTCTCTGTAACGGACCCCTTGCCCTGTTCCTCACCTTCCCCCTCGCCGCCTGATTCCTTCCTTCTATATGATGGTCAGTGGCACGGAATCCCCAAGAGATTGTACATATAAAGGAGAAAAATAAACATTTTTGCTCGAAAACAGTGTGAAACAACATCTTTTCTTACCTTCTGTCCATGTAAAAGCCAAACCAGCCAGCCTCATAAGGAGGACAGGAGTGGGGAGCTCAGCAGCCTGCCCTGGGCTTAGCTCCGCCCACACCTCCAAAGGAGGGTACTGAGAGGCCACAGGTGCTAAGGGGTGGGCCGGGCTGGCCCTGTCCTGGAGGGCTGAGAACGGGCATCCTGAGGGGCTTCCTGACCCCAACACTGCACCTGCCAAATGTGTCCTGGGCCCCAAGCACTGCTGACTCTGGGGGCTTCCAGCCTGTGTTCCATCCACTCTGTGCCTGAATTCCATTTAGTAGCGCAGTAAGCTGTGCCCACACTGGAAGGAGGTGTGTCATGGTAAATTAAGCAGCTTCTCCAGCCCCTGTCTACCTGTCTGCCTGACTCTCGGGAAGCCTAATTTGCATGACTCACCACAGCTCCCAGGGCCACCCTCTTAGCTCCCTGTGGAGTGAACTTGGGGGAGATGGGGTTCCTCTTTGGGGCTTTCAGGATTGTTGAGTAGAGCACTTGGGGCCAGGGTCATTCATGGCTCTTATCAGGGGCAGTGGCTTTCCTGGTAGGCACAGGCACCTTGGGACCCTGTGAAGGCTCAGCACATGGTTCCGGCCAGCCCTGCATGTGCACCGCGGGGTGACTGAGCCAAGGAGTGCAGTGTCCCCTGCTCAGTTCACTGGAGTGGCTGCTTCAGCTGCTGTGCCACCTCCCCCAGAGAGCTGCAGTGTCAGGCTTCACGCCTGTGCATAGAGAAGAAGGGGACACTCATCCCAGAGCCAACACAGACCCCTCGACTGTATCCCAAGTGCCAGAGGGCCACTCGCTTCAGGCCGCTGAGTGTTACACAGGAGCAGGGCAGCCTGTCAGGCTTCCCAGTGGCTCTCAGTGTGCTGGCTGGTCACACCGAGGATGGCCCTGTGACAGAGGCCACCAGGTTGCACCATGGATGAGACTGTCTGCATCACGCAGGAGTCATGACCAGGTGGCCCGACCAGCTACAGCATCATTGCTCCACCTTCATTTCAGAAGCTTCTGGCAGGGCAGTGGGGCCTGGCCCTTGATGGGCAGTAACAAGCTATGGCGGTTTTGTTTTCCAGATCCTGAAAGCGAGAAGCCCGACTGACCCACCCAGATGCCAGGCCCACATCATGTCTAAGCGGAGAAGTGACGGGACCCTGAGGGCCAGCCTGCTTCTCCTGTCCAGTTCACTCTGTTTTGTAACCACTTTCTAAGCATTTTTTATTCACAATTGGAAACACAAGTGTAATGCAAGAATAAAACATATTTTGGGGGAGAAAGGACTTTGGTTTTTCAAACTTTCTCCTTTCTGGTGGCCCTCAGACAGGCAGGTGACCTGGACGCATGTGGACTGGGGGACATTCACAGGACCCTGGCATTCCCAGGACAGTTCCCTTCTCCCTATGGCAATGTCCATGGGTTCTGTCAGGTGTATATAGAGGGCCTGGGACCCTAGGGCTCCTCTGTGTGATGAACTGGGAGGAGTGGTGCCTTATTAATAACAAGTGATTTCTTGTGTTCATTATTTTGTCACCTTCTGTCTATGGTTCGTGTTACTGGTTTTCTACAGGCTGTAGTAATGCAGTCTCTTTTCAAACAGCAAATTATTTAAATCATTCTAAGAAAATTAGGCTGGGCGTGGTGACTCATGCCCATAATTCCAGCACTTGGGGAGGCCAAGGCGAGAGGATTGCTTGAGCCCAGCCTAGACAACATAGTGAAACCTTATCTCTACCAAAAAAAAAAGTAGCCAGGCATGTTGGTGTGTGCCTGTAGTCCCAGCTACTCTGGAGGCCAAGGCAAAAGGATTTGTCTGAGCCCAGGGGGTCAAGGCTATAGTGGTCTGTGATTAGAGGAGTAGTCTTGGCCCTGGGAGGGGAAGGTTAGAATAGACAGCTGCATGGATAGAATCCCTGTTCACACCTCAACTTCTGAGAGCCTCTCTGCACTCTTCGTGGCAGGAGCCAACAGGCACCCTTCCCTCTGGGGACTCGAGTAGCAGAGACCAAAACACCCCATTCTGGGGGTAGCTGGGTCCTCCCTGCACATGAAGGCAGCTCTCTAATCAGCTATAAGTTGCTATGTTGGTCAGTACAGGAAGGGGTCAGGCTGGGAGCAGCCCTCGGGAGATTCTGCTCACTGCTTTCCTGGTTCTCAGCACTCACAGCTTCATCCACAGCTCAGGAATACCCTCCAGGACTCCTGTGGTAACCCCCTAATCTCTGGTGTCAGGATCCAAGGCTCTTGGTCGTCAGCTTCACCCACCAGATGTGGGCCAGCTTTGGATTTCACTGCCATAGAATGGTACACTGGTCCCTCCAGAATTCATCTTTGACCCTCCAGCCCATGGGGTCTCCCTCCCTCTCTGGGTTCTGCACACAGTCAGGGTGGACTGCTCACCAGATTCTTAGAGACCTCAGCCCCCCCATGGAGAGTTCTCATATGTGTATCTTACCTGTTACATTTGACTTTAAGCTTTCTGAGGACAGGAACTTACAATTCCCCTTGATATTCCTACCTCTTCCAGAACAATCATGGTTGAGCACAGCTGACACACACAGAATTGTGACGAGGTCAAGCTCTCCTCTGGGCAGATGAAGCCTGCAGAGGGTACTTGTTGTTCTACTTAGAGGATTTCTGGAATGGAAAGGACCCTGCCCCAGTCCAGGCCCCTCCTAAGAAGGCAAGGGCAGCATCACCCAGGACCACCCCAGGCTCCTCCTGCAGGGCCAAGGCAGCCAAGTCACATGTTCTGCTCTATTGTCATTTTGTTCTCAGCTGTCCCAATAGTCCAGCTGCTCCTCTGGGTGTGTGTCGCAACATATGTACCTTGTCTCCAGGCTGCACAGCTTCAGTTCTCTGAAGAGTGAATCTTATTATAGGACTGGTCAATTCTCTGTGACTTGGGGAGACCTGGCAATACAAAATTAAATATTCTCCCAAAGATACTGAGGACCCAAGGTGATGGTATACTGCCACTACATTTCTAGTCACAAATATTTTTGTTCTCTGGCCTCAGAGCCCAGCTTGATTTCTTATCAAATGGTGTCTTAGCTTGGGCTGCCAAACAAAATAGCACAGACTGGGTGGCTAGAACAACAGAAATGTATTTCTTATAGTTCCAGAGGCTGAGAAGTTTCCAATCAAGGTGCCAACAAGGAAAGTTTCATTCTTAGGTCTCTTCTCTTGGCCTGTAGGCAGTTACCTTCTTGCCACACGCCTACATGACCTCTTCTTCATGTATGCAAAGAAAGAGTGCTCTGGTTTCTTTTAGTCTTTTGGGACACTAATCTTACCAGATGAGGACCCACTCTTATGACTACATTTAACCTTAATTGCTTCTGGAAAGGCCCTCTATTCAGGAACATCGACTTCGGGGGTTAGGGCTTCACCATAAGAATTTGAGGGATACAGACATTCCACTCTACAACACATGGCCTATGGAATAATTCTGGCATACAACCCATTTGTGAGGTAAAAACTATATTTGTCTCCACTTGCACACGCTTTAAAATTAAATGAATACCAAATATATACAGAGAGAGAGAGACGGAAGTGGGGAGAAATCAAGCCATATTTGTGGCAGAAGACTTAATAGAAAGAAATAACTTTCCACTCCTCTTCCTGGGTCCCACACCAAGCTCATGAAGACACACATCCCATACAGCCCTTCCCAGCCCTGAACATCATAATCATAGACTATGGAGGAACAGTGGCCATGGGAAACACACTAGGCTAGCTGCACAAGGGCTGGTCATCCAGGCAGATGCCAAGAGCCACAGAGCTCTTGATTTAGAACTCAAGTGCGTAGGACCACAGATAAAAAGGAAAACAAAGGACACATGAGATGAAAAAATCAAATAGATGGTAGACTTAAACCTAACCGTATCAACAACTACATTTTATAGCATTACATAAATGGTCTAATCCCTTCAGTTGAAAGAAATTATCAGACTGAAAACAGCAAGACTCAACTATATGTTGCTTACGATAAACATTATTTATTTATTTATATGTTTGTTTAAAAACAAGTTCTCTTTCCATTGCCCAGTCTGGAGTGCAGTAGTAGTGTGATCTTGGTTCACTGCAGCCTAAACCTCCTAGACTTAAATGATCCTCCCATCTCAGCCTCTTATGTAGCTGGGACTGCAGGCATGCACCACATGCCTGGCTGATTTTTTAAATTTTTTTGTAGAAACAAGGTCTCACTATGTTGCTCAGGCTGGTCTTGAACTTTTGGGCTCATGCAATTCTCTCACCTTGGCCTTGCAAAGTGCTAGGATTACAGGTATGAGCCACCATGCCTGGCCTAGGGTATAAAAAATACTATCCTAACATTAATCAAAATAAAATTTGGATGACTCTATTAATAACAAGCAATGTAGATTTCAGAGTAAAATTTACCATTAGGGCAAAAATGATCCTTTCATGATGATAAAGAGGTCAATTTATCAAGAAAACATACAATTCAAAACATTTGTGAACCTAATAACAGAGCTTCAAAATACATGAGAAAGACCAATAGAGCTAACTGCAAAGGGAAATAAATCCATAATTATAGTCAGACATTTCAATGTCCTCAACAATTGGTAGAACAAGTAGACAGAAAACCATTAGAATCAAGAGTCTGACTCCCATTTTTAATGTTTGATTGCTGACAGCTTTAAAGTCTCCCCCCTCCCCTTCCCTTTCTCTCCCACATCCCAATGGGAAAGACTGGGTGCTCCTTCCAGTGAAAGTAGTGGGAGATTCCGACAAGTTAAGACCCTGCCCACACAGGTACTCTCCCCTTACCCCACCCTTCACCACCATAAAAACCCAAAGCCTGTCTCCTTTCCCTGCATTCTCAGTCAATTTTGGACCTGTTGGAGAACTACGCTGCTCTCTCCAGAAATCCGCATTATGTAGTAAACCTTTTCATCCCCTCTTATGGGCTGTGTGTGTGTGTGTGTGTGTGTGTGTGTGTGTGTGTGTGTGTGTGTTTGTAGTCATCAAACTCAACATTCAAGCCAAATTTGGGGTGGAAGTTCATCCTGTTTCTGTGGAATGGCCACAATGATCACCAGGAATACAGAAGACATGAGCACGACTATCAGCCAACTTGTCCTGGCTGACATTTCTAACACTCCACCCGCAGCAGAACACACATCCTCTTTATGTGCATATGGTTTATGTACCAAGATAAACCATCTTCTGGGCTGTAAAAATGAGTGACAATAAACTTAAAGGATTCAAGTCATATAAACAATGTACTCTGACAACCAATGAAGTAAGCACCCAAATATTTGGAAATGAAATACACTTCTAAACAATCCATGGATTGAAGAAAACCACCTGGGGAGGACCCAAAAAACCCAGAATTTATTTATAAAAAATTGTGTATTGATTCTTACATGTTTAAACTTGAGTCACTTTCAAAGTACCCTCTGTGTGATGCAATACACCTATCAAGATGCTTTTTCCACTGCTCAAAACAGGTTTTGAACTCATCGATTCTGATGCCTTTTAGTGCTTCTGCCATTTTTTGTTTCACCTCTTCCACATCAGCAAAATGTTTCCCTTTGAGAACTTTTTTCATCAGGGCAACAAAAAAGTCGCTCAAGGCAAGATCAAGTGAATAGAGAGGGTGGGCATAGGCACAAAAGTGGGTCATGCCGTTTTTGATCAAAAGCTGCTGAACGCTCAGCGTGGTGTGGGCAGGTGTGCTCACAAGTCACCCATTAAGAAATGGGCAAAAGCGCTGAAAGACTCTTCCAAAAAAATTCACTGAAGCTGAATATAACCTTTCACAACAACACTAGCTAGTACACTAATGCCAGTGGGTTCCTAAACTACTTTTCTACTGGGGGGGAAGCCTGTACTACAAGGGGCCTGCCCTCCAAAAAATAATTCTGTTTTTGGGGGGAATCCCCCTTCATAAAAGAGAAATTCGAAAAACGTTTGACTGAAAATGAAAGCACAACATGAAAATCTGTGGGATATTGCTGAATCAGTACTAGGAAGAAACTGATAGCACTAAGAGCCTATATATAGAAAAAAGAAAGATTAAATCAACAACTTCATCTTCTACTTTAGGAAACTAGCAAAAGAAGAGAAATTAAGTCCAAAGTAAGCAGAAGAAATTGAACAGTAAAAATCAATAAAACAAAAAATAAAGAATATTAATGAAACCAAAACTAGTATTTGAGAAACTCAGTAAAACTGAAAAACACTAGCCAGATTGATCAGTAAAGAAGAAAAGACAGCCGGGCTCGGTGGCTCAGCCTGTAATCCCGCACCTTTG